TCAGAAAACAATATAGCCGATCATTTTACAAAGGCCCAAGGCTCTATAAAGCATAAAGCTTGCTGTGAAGATTATGGACTTAGAATGTAAGGTTGTATATATTGTCTTACCCAAAAGGGGAGAATGTTAGGAATGTAAGTCACCTAACAGTTATTTGGGTTGGAAATATATAAATCAGATAAACATTTTAAAACTGTATCTTTAAGAAAATGCAAAAATTGTAATTGGGTGTGGTTTCTCAAATGGCCATAAGATGGAGCCAGAAACCTGGATTGTTTTTGTCTTACTCTTTGTCTCAGAAGAGAGTGTGATTGAGTCTCTGTTTCCTTCTGTTGGAGAGTTTTGTTGTTTTTTCCTAATTGACTGTTATTCTTGGATTTGATGTAAGTCTGATACGGAACTGTTTTTGACACTGGACATTGATATTGGATTATCCCTGGACTGAAAACTGACTGATTTAACCTGTGAATGACTTTGGACTGTGTTTGAACTTTGCTTAAATGTTTCTGGAAGTAAAAACCTACATTTATTGTACAGTGTATCTATGTGCTGTGTGTATATTATTCAAACACTACTCTCAAATACGTCTCCCTGTATGCGCTCATTCTCCTAATGGGGAATTACCTTAACAAGTACTCCATGTGGTGAAGAGAAAGGGTGGGGGTGGGTGGGAAAGAAAACTTGCCTTTAGGAGCGCCCTGAAAGTAGCCTTGGCTAGAATACCCTGATCTACTGATAGAACATCAGCCAACAGAAGCTCCCCAAAGGCAGAGTCCCCAGATGCTTCAGGGCGAGGCATGGCTGCCTGTGTCCCCTCGCCATTAGACAGTGTCTTTCGGGTGATGGAAGCTCCCCAAGGGCTGTCACCAGCCACTTCAATCGGCCGGTAGAAGTGACCTCAGGGTGAGCATACACACACACACTCCCCTCACCACGAGGCCACTTCTATTGGCCGACACAAGCTCCCTTGAAGGCAGTGTCCCCAGCTGCTTTGGGGTGAGGCGTGGCTGCCCATATCCCCTTGCCATTAGGCAGTGTCTTTTGGGCGATGGAAGCTTCCCAAGGGCAGTCACCAGCCACTTCAATCAGCCGGTAGAAGCAGCCTAGGAGCGAGTTTATATACACACTCCCCTCACCCTGAGGCCGCTTCTACTGGCCGATCGAAGTGGCTGGTGACTGCCCTTGGGGAGCTTCCATCGCCCAAAAGACACTGCCTAATGGCGAGGGGACACGGGCAGCCATGCCTCGCCCCAAAGCAGCTGGGGACTCTGCCTTCAACGGAGCTTTTGTCGGCTGATAGAAATGGCCTTGTGGAGAGGTACGTGCATATGGGCTGCTCTAGGTGGGGGAGGAAATTAAGTCACCTCCGAAAAGATGGCCTAGCCGTTTTTTGGGGATCAAAAAAAATTAAGGCCTGGCCTTATTTTGTGAGAAACACAGTATCTTAAAAGGGCCATGCCAGGTGTGTCTTGCCAGCAGCAGGAGAAAGATAGCAAAAGTCATGTGGCAGTGATAGGACTTGCTATAATGCTGAGGCAAGCAGAGCACATTGCAGGCAGAACAGCAGAATGATGGAGTGTTAAGTGGCAAGATCTGCAGGGCCAACAGAGTTGCAGGCAAATGGAATTCAGGATGGAAGACTGGCAGGATGCTAGAACAAACAGAACACAGAAAGTGGGGACAACTAGTACATTGTACTGTAATATAGGAGCATGGAGTTTAAGATGGCACTCCTTGGTAGCAATCATGGCAGTGTCAGAGTTGAAGTACTAGTTCAATGAAGTAGATGTGGTGGCTGGCCTCAGGCATCCATTTCAGTCCTAGTGTCTTTGTGATTTTAATTTTGACTTTGTGGAAACTGTGCCAGTTGTTAAAAAGTTTGAATCCCACCCCTGATTATAACCTGTACTTTTGGAATGTATCCAATGTCTCTGCCTACTTGTGTGTTAGGATCTCCCTTCAAACAAGCTGCTCAAGGCAGCTGACAGTTGTGATTCACTTGGGACGTGCAAGTGGCTGCATGTTCCATTTGGGCAGCCCATCTTTCCATTGCCTATAAAACTATTAGATCTTATTTTGTGCATCTATGTGGATGTGGGTATTGGCTGGAATCAGGGTAGGTAGAGGAATAGATTTGGGAAAGTAATGATGTTACTGAAACAAATGTACCAAAAGGTTACAAGGATAATTCAAGGCAAGGTTGTCAAAATTAAATTAATACTCTCAGTGGTTTCAATTTGACAATGAAATAATGACACAATGGCCATGGTATCATCTTTCAAATGTCAAACTTGGGTGTTTATGTCACAACATTTGAAAGAATTAGATCAGGCATTTGTGTCATAATATTACCAAGCATCTATCATAATTCAACTGCCCCCACAAGGTTCATGTAGAGTCTTAATAATCCTGCCTAGATCTACATATTTCATTATTATTCTAAGGGAACTTTTCCCAAACACCTATGGCAACTATAATTAGAAATGTTTAGAGGAGTAATGAGTAGATTCCAGAGTTTCAGATTCTGTCCATTTTATATTGGAATCTGAAGATCCATCATGTAATACCCAAGGCAGAAAACTTACATATAATATTTCCACACAAAAACTAGATTGATTCAAGATTTATTCATTTCAGCAGTATCATGAAGTAGCAAGGTGCAGAAAGAATTTCCCCCCTGCTATTTTAAACCCATGAGAGTCAAAACTGTCAGATTTCGGATTTACTGAAATCCCCTAAAATTGTATAATAAATCTAAATATATCTACTGGCCAATCTGTTTAAGGATGGTTAGAATGGGATGAACTGATCACAGCATCACATATATGGAAGAAGAGTAATGGACAAAAGTTGATTGATTTAATGTTCCATTTCCTAAAGCTATTGGCAAAAAGTAAAATAAAGAATGGAGAAATGTCTACAGAAAAGGACAACATAATTGAATATAGACTAAAATGTACTAAGACATATGCAGGAAAGATTGATGATAAGAGTAAATAAAGGAGGAAGGAAGCAATGGAGCCTGGTGAGCATGATCAAGGCGAATCACATCCACAACAGGCCAGTGAATCAAACTTTATCCAAAAACACTCATTTTGGGTTTTCTCAGCTAGACATGATGAATAGGTGGGAAAGCCCAAGAAAGAATTAGAAACAGCTCTTCCATATCAGAAATGAAAGGCACAAGATCAATATACTGTGATGACCACCATGGAATTGTTTATTTAGATAGTTAGTACAGTGTTGAATTAAAATATAGCATATATTTGCATAGAAAAAGAAAATAGAAAATAAAAAAGAAGAAAATAGTGTACCCTGACATTTGAAGTTTATTCTAGAACTCCCTTTACAATCTGTAGATCACGGGTGTCAAACTCGCCACATCACTTTGCTGTCACATGATGTATCTTGACGTTTTTTCCCTTTACAGAGCTGGAGTGGGTGTGGCCTGCATGTGACACATCCTGCCCATGGGCTGCCAGTTCGATACCCCTGGTGTAGACTGTCAGAATGACTGGTTCAGGAATTCTGGGAGTTGAAGTTTATAGATCATAAAGGGAACATAGTTGCCCACCCATTCTAGAAGCTCACCAACATTGTGAAAGTTGTTATGGTTTAAGAGGCACTGAAAACCTATCTTCAAAATTATTATTCATCTCAGAAGGAGTAGTCATGGCATGCAGGTTTGATGGAAGCCTGGGCATGGTGTTGATACACTAATTTCCTTAGCAATTTATTGCTTTATACAAAGTAAGTAAATGTAGAAAGGGAATATAAAATTGCATATGTTTTCTGTGAATATGTCTCTGATTATTGTATTAACCTTATTTTTTGTGTTTTTTAAATATTTATGCTCTACTTTAAAGGAGTTCCACGTGGTTTACAGAAAGCAATAATTTAGTCCTTAAATACAGTTTTCCAACGGAAAGGAAAATGCATATTATCTTGCTGAAGATTTAAGATGAAATGACTCTTGGTTTTCAACAGATTAATCTTTATCTTTCCATATAATAATAGTAATAATAATGAACACGGTTTTTGGTTAAAACTTCTGACACTACTTATTGCCAGGCAGTTTATTGCTGCATATTGTAAAGAGGTGAAATTGAAGATTGGTCAACATCTGTCAAAACCTACCTGATAATGAAGGGCAAAAAGGGCAGCAGTAGATGACTATAGCCTGCTTACCAACTACTTTCAAATTGCTAACTGGTGCAGTGCCTAATGCAGTCCAACAGCATCTATTTGAAAACAAACTCTTTCCACCTGAACAGAAAAGAAAATGCCCAAACAGCAGAGGAATAAAAGATCACCTCCTAACTGACAGAATGATTTTGGAAATCTTTAGCAAAAGGAAGACTAATTTGAATGCAGCTTGAATTGATTACAAGAAGGTATTCAACTCCCTGCCACATGACTGGATAATTAAGAGCCAGTAGAAACATTAGAAGCTTTGAGCAGAGATTAATGGCACAATAGAAGACACAGTTAATGTTCAGTGGTGATGGAGTGGGAAAAGTACATATGAAGAGAAGAATGATTCAAGAAGATTCACTATCACCACTATTTTTTATCATTTCATACCTCTATCAACAAGGCTGAACTAATCATGCATACATATCTGCAAGAAATACCATTTCCCTGTAAGCAAGAACTGGAGGGATCACAAAATTGACGAAGTAGGAGAAAATAAAAAACCTAAAGCGCTCTGTGTCTTTAAGTATTGATATCACATGACATCCCAGACTGAACAATGGTAGACAAGAAAGGCAAAAATGTCTGGTTACTGGTTGTAACAGTATATTCAGCAGAATAAATGAGAAAGAATTGGAAATAAAGTCACAAAATACAAAGATGTGCAAATAGAAGTAGGATGTCCATGGCAAAAGAGAACAATGATAGTATCAATAGTGATGGATGCCCTGGGCAATCCTAAAATATCTGGAGCACCAGTTAAGTATCTTTGGAATTAACTAAATTACGATCAGTTAGAGGGAGCTATTTGGAACAGCTCATATCCCATGATTATATTTTTAACACTATCAAACAACATCTGCATATCCCAGGTCATTGGGAAGAACTCAATAGACTGATAAAAATGGCAAATCTAGCCTAACCTCTGGCTAACTTGGTGACCAACCACAATAATATTCCTTTTACTAAATGATTTGAGGAATCTAAAAGTATTTGAGCTAACATTCTTTTCATTAAGATTTAATTGAAAATTATTCATATGTGGAGTTGAATCTATATATTGTATTTACATGCTTTCTGAGGTTCAGTCTTGTTTTCATTTTTTCTACAAGATTCATTCATTTCTTACCTACTCCAACTTACTCTTTAAACACCAAGAACTACGATGCACTTATAATTTACCACAGATGAAGGCTCTTGAGGAATATTTCCTCTTGTAATTACAAACTGTTTAGTTCAGCATTTTCTAATTCAATGATAAAAAAAGACAACTGTAATAAATTCTGAAACTATTGGCTTTGAATATTTTCTCCCCTTGTAACAGCTATGCTGAGGCACTGAAATATTTTGTCAAAAAATCATAAATTGCTGACAGATATTTATGGATTATTTTTCTATTGCACAGGTAAAATGAAATTCCCGCCCTTGTGCTTTGCACAAATTCACTAGATATTGTGCATGGTAATCAATTTAATTCTAATGTTCAGTAATATTATTTCCCTGTTTTATTGGTAGAAACTAGCCATTCATTAATATACTCGAGTTCAGGAATGTATATAAAGTAGGATTTTTAAAAAACCTTTCTTGATTGACTTGGTTGAAAGGCTGAACATATAGGGTTCCCCTTCTCCAGTTTTCTAATTTATATTCTTTAAAGTCATTTCTGCTTGGCAATTCTGTCCAGAAAGCTGAGTTCTATCTCCACAAAATTCATTTCTGAATTTTGTATCTTAACCACAGCCATATTTACTCAGATAAAACAAAAGATTCTGATATTATGACCCCGGCTTAATAGGATTCAAACATTAAAGAAAAGGACTTTCTTGTATAGTTATGTCACCTGGGGCTTTGCTTTTTATAAATCATTTTGTGTTTGTGAGAATTTTAGACCTATAAAAACACATCAGCAAGGTCTAAACTGCATGTAAAAGTTCATGGTTTGAGATTAATAGATTTCCACAGTGCCTTCAGCAGGTACAAACTATCCTATTCCCCCATAATTTGAAGATTAACTTTATCTGGCCACTATGTAAGAGCTCACAATATTTTTATGGAAAGGTTCCTGTGATCATCTTGTTCTCATTACCCACAGAAAAGCAAAAACAAGGTAATAATTTGTGTAACAGCATCAAACACTCCAATGTTACATTGTATTAAGAAAGTGTACATTCTTCTAACCACTCATGATATTTTAAGGCATGCTTCCTAAATAGGTGAGTTTTGGTCCTCTCTTTATGACTGTGCACAGATCAGAATACAATACTACATAAGGATTCATTAAAAGGACTTGTGTGGCTGCAGCAGCAATTGAATTTCAGAAACAGAGGCAGCTGCATTAATGAGCTAACAACAGCTCTGCTTTTGTATCCTATGTTCATCAAAACCCCTTTTAGAACAAAATGGGAAATGCTGCATGAGCTGTTACTGTTTCAGTGAAGGCCCTCATCAAAGATATGATGTTCTAGTTGGCCTTTAGTAGGCAGACATGTTATACAGGAAATTGGGTTAACTGTTAAAATCCTACTAGAAGGTGATTAGAAATAAACAATGACTTACCATAAAGCATGGGTGTCAAGCCCATGATGTCATGTCGCCGTTACAGGATGTTTCATGATGGTTTTCCCCATTGCAAGCTGGGATGATCGTGGCCTGTGCATGACCCACGGGCCACGAATTTGACACCCCTGCTAAAGCCACATGCTATTTCAGCTATGACAGCAGCCTTGTTCATAAACTGTGATAAGTCATAAAACATGATTTTAAACCACATTAGCTATGTTTACATTAAGCACATCTCAATAAGCAAACTTTTTTTCTTTACCCTTTTTCTTTTATGCTATAGTTTGAAATGGCCTTAACTTTACCATGGAACAACCCATGGGAAACCAGAAGATTGAGTTAGATGAAATAGGACATAGTTTAGAAATGATTGATTAGCAGCTGACACATCTGGTAATAACATTCTAGAAATGAAAGCTGGCTAGGTGACTTTGGGACAATCACACACACTCTCTCTTAATCCAACACACCTCACAATTGTTGCTATGGAGAAATAGAAGGCAGGAATATTAAATATATTTGCCACCTTGACAGATATAGATAGATAGATAGATAGATAGATAGATAGATAGATAGATAGATAGATAGATAGATAGATAGATAGATGATTGATAGACAGACAGACAGATATAGAAATATAAAGGCAGGAATAAATAAAAACAACAATAGGTCTTGGGCCTGAAAGGGGCAGCCTTTTGTTCCTCCGCATGTATTTTAGGACAAGGCTGGGAGTGGAATATTTCTCCTTCTGCTTTGTGAAGACAGGAATCTGAGGGCAGATAAATATCAGGAAGGGATTTAAACTCCCAAGTCATCAGAGCAACTAACTGCTTTCAGGGCCTCATGGGTGTGACAGAAATAGACTGTCATTTTTGCCATTTGCCCAACTTTGAGGTGACAACATAGTAGTACACTATCCTAAATTCTCTCCTCACTGCTTATTACTCAAGCTGTACTGTGCAGTTTCTATGACATTTCAGCACCTTCATTTGGTAACTGAACTTAATCCATTCTGTCGGCTTACTGGCAAACACTGCAAAACTTCTGGTTCAATTGTAAACCAACCCTGGGAGAGGTTATTTTAGGTTATAAGCCATCATTCATGCTGTATAAGGCAATTTCATAATGAATTGGATTATATTGATTTTAATATTCTAAGTCAGACTTTATCTGACTTTCTTCTGGGAGTTAAAGTCCATACATTTTAAAGTTGCTGGCTTCAGAAAAACTGTTTTAAGTGAAACAATTTTATTTATTTTACCATCTTATTTTTTTTAATTTTACAAATTTCATTTCATTTTATTCTTATTGTTTAACATATTTTAATAATACCAATCTTCAAGTGTAACAATAATTTGATTTGTGTATGTTATGCATGCTAATATTTTCTTCTTTTTGGTTGCTAATATTTACATTCTTGGAAATGTACTTTTTTCTGTTGCTAAGATGATTAAAAACACTACATAGAAATCTCAGATACTATTGTGTTTTTTATGTTGTGAGGTATCATCCTGACATTTATTCATTTTTTTAAAAAAGTAATGTTTAAGGATATTTGCATTCCAAAACAAACATTTTAAAAGTTTGCTATATAACTTTGGTTTCCTCTGATACTTGCTGACTGAGAATATATTGGAAACAAATTGAAGGTTTTTGATGACAATAAAATTCAGGTTGGCATATAATAAAATTTGTCACTATTTTTCCTACTATCTTTATGGCCTCATCAAGTAGCTGAACACCAATTCAAATTTCATTTCCCGGTTTACTACTTGTGAATTGTATTGATTACCTTTCTAAACTATCTAACATGGGGAGAAGTTCCAGAATGATATCATAAGATTTAATTTCTTTTAGATGAGGGTGCATGGGGCATGGGAGATATCTCATCTTAAAATCTTATTTGCATATACAAACAGAGGGCAAATGCATAAGCCAGCTCTTAAATAAATGTAGGCAGATAGGAGGAAAAATCTAACACTTTCCTGGTTAGAAGTTATTGCAATGGTAAAAATATACAATCCAAGATGAATTTCCTATTCCAAATGGCACCAATTTCAATTCACTATAAAAGTTTGCAGGATTGGCAGACAAAAAATAACACACACACACACACACACACACACACACATATATATATATATATATATGTTTTCTGAGGTTCTCGCGGGTATTTGTATGTGGAACTTTGGTTGTTCGGGTTTTCTCCCGCGTAAGATTCGAAGTATCTAGGCAACGTTTCGATGAAGTCTCATTCATCATCTTCAGGCTTCTGTCTCCGGCTCTGTGCTTCTCAGAGTAATGTGAGATTGCAGCTGCTTCCTCCTTTTAACTGCCAGTGGGGGTGGGACTTGATTGGGTGGGGGCTTGGCTGTGTTCTGATTGGGTGGGGGTGTGTTCTCATTGGTAGGGGGTTTGGCTGTGTTCTGATTGGTTGGGGGGTTAGCCGTGTTCTGATTGGTTGGAGGCGTGTTCTGTTCAGGTGGGGGCTTGGTTGTGCTCAGGTTAGTCTTAGTTGCTGGGGGATGTGAGCTGGTGAGTTGTGATCTTGCTGTTTGGCTTCGAGTTCGTGGTCGTGCTGACATAAGAACTCAATCAAAAAAGAAGAAACGACCTCTTCCCTGGTCCAACACCTCAAAGCCACAGGACATGAAATTGATTTTAAAAATACCAGAACCATCGCCAAAACCGAACACTTCAACAGCAGAATAATCAGAGAAGCCATAGAGATAGAAAAACGCCCACACAGCATGAACAAACGAGATGACACCTCCCGCCTTCCAGCCATTTGGAAACCCGCCCTCATGAACAGACGAGTACCTAACATGAAGAAGGACACCAGACCCACACCCATGAGAGCCACACAAGATGCCACCACCACACTTCCATGTAGAAAACAGACTCACACCCACTCAGAAGATGAGACACGACCATGGACCAGAAGCTGCACTGCAGCTGCATCACTACCCACTTCAAACCCCTCCGAGCCATACATGAAGCAAACCGACACCCACTATGAAGATGCAGCA